CCTACCGCCCAATTCGAGCGCGTGGCAAGATGTGACCGCCCGGCGATCGATATTGCTATGCGCACATCTCGCCACGCGCTCGAATTGGGCGGTAGGCCGGCCTAAGACAACGATTTTTAATAATTAATTACTCGTTAACTATTACGAAAATTGCAAAATGGTACAGGACTTTTCCGTTCATCTCGATCCATTCTACCTTCTCAAAAATTTTGTCGGATATGGAAAGACTCACCCTGTATATACACATATATGTATGTATACATATGTATAAAGCGAGATCCTTAATTCCCTGCAAATCCGCCGATCTCTTTTTTTTCTCCTTTTTACGCACGTTTCGGCAATGTGCTTTAAAATTGAGATCTTAAGTTAATCTTAGATCGTCGTTTCTGCGCGCTCATGTTACGGAATATATCTACATATACAAAGATTTGCAAGATAGGAAATGTATGTGTGTTTTCAATGCTAAATGAAATCGCGATTACCGATCGATCGCCGGTATCTCCTAAGCGGCGTATGTAAAATACCTGATAACACACGGTGCAAACAATTTTGGCTTGTTATTATATTAACATATATGGCGACGTTAGATTCGATTAAGCGGGTAAGCTACGGACCGGCATGTCCCCCTGGGCACGTTAAAAGTACGTAACCCCTAACTACGAATGGCTCGGACCTTGAATGGCCTCTGGCCCCAACTTAGGCGGTATTATTTTGGCTTTATGGAAATGTGCGCAAGTACTTCACTGAAAATGCTTTCTCGTGACATTGCATACGAACTTGCTTTTATCGCTGTGACACTTCTTTGAAACGTTGTTCGGAACAATGTTTAACTTTACACATGCATACTTTTGTTTTTAAATAAGCTAAATACTCAACGCGCACTCTTTATAGAAATAACCTTATAGCGAATCCGGTTGCGTGCACGAGTGCGCACCAAGGTTTGTTTATAGTCAATTCTTACACTTAACTTTGTCTTAAATACATGTCCGAAGAGCATTTAGCCAAAAAGTGATCTGTACGGATGTTGTACGGATCATTTTACTGGCTAAAAAGTCTTTCCAGAGGTTTATTTAAAATGATCCTTAAATATAAGAATTGGCTGCAAACGAGCCTTAGTGTGCATTAATTGTAAGTGTGCACTAGTGCAAGAGCAACCGAATTCGCTATTGGTCCAGCAACATGACAAAATGATCGTGCAGAATCTCTTCGTCGTTGAATTTTGCAGTTCACAAATACGACTAAAGATTTTTCACGCGCTTTTAATTCTAGCCCTCTATTATTTTTATTTGCCTCGCACTTGTCACACCGCGTTGAATATTTTTATGTGAATTATTATTTCGTAGAATGCAAGATTATCCGTCGGGAAACGAAAACAGAATAATTTATACGTGACTGAAATCGTGCCCCTGCGCATCCGTTAGTACACGCTGTCTTCCTTGCACCACCACTCACAATCCATCCTTTTTATCCATAAGCGCCTCATTCGTATACGATAGCGATCCGGGCACACATCCCGGTGACATCCCGTAACTTTTCTCGATTACCTCTGCTTACGTAAAATTCTGCCGTACTTTAGCGTTAGTAACAAAAATTTTATTTCTTTTCAAACGATAATTACGAGTGAGAGGAACTGCTACGTCTGCGGGACTTCTTATATTCCCATTTCGCCCCTTATTCAACGGAATTTTCCCGTTTATTATAATATTATACATATATAAGCTTATTTCATACGTCGACGCTCGAGCAACACGGAAAAACATTACTGAGCTCTCCCTTATCAAGCTTCTCCGTAACTTATCTTATATCACTCGTTGTCACATTTTATGCTATAGTGAAATCCTTGTCTTTTCACGACTAGTGAAATATGCGTAACTTTTTATTTTCTAATTTACCCGATCGCGCGGACTAACGTGGAAATAATTGTTTTTATTGTGCAAGACGCCAATGACCCACAAAAGTTTTTAAATGTAGATTAACAATTTTTATTTATACATTGGGTTTTGATCACATCGAGTGAAATCAATTTAATCTTAGATAATTGATGTTCGTTTAATTAACGCTCTATCATATTTGTGATTAAATTCGGTACAAAATATGAGAAAAATACGTATTTTTATCGCAATCTTTTATTATTATTAGCTCTACTTGTACTTGATTTATTATACTTCCAAAATGACCGTAGTAAAGCCGCTTATTAATCTGTTGGCCTTGAAGAATCACTAACAACCCAAGATCCGCTTAAATGACCGAGCGAAATCTTTCGAGCTTTCGAGCGCCAAAGTAATTATAAGTATTTTACTCCAGCAAAACGATAGAACAATTTGAGTAGCTTCTTGCCGCCAGTGGTAATCAACCAAGGGAAATTTTTTAAAAAATCGGCCAAACTGAGAAAATTGATGTTTATTTTAATCACACGGTGATTAACGATAAAAGCCCTTGGGATGGCATAATCTAAGATATCAAAATGATAACGGAAAGAGTGATATCGCGACGTAATAGCATCTCGAGTTATAAAAGCAGCAAAAAGAAGGTCGAAGTTAAAATATCATGGACGCGAATGTAATTTTCTGCGAGATCGTCTATGGGGACTGCGGGCATAATTAATCCACGTATTGTCCCGATCATACAATCGCGTGCGGTGCGTATAACCGTACTGCGTGCGGAAAGGTATTTTTAATTGCATGCATACTGTGCATACGCTAGTAAGCGTAAGCTTTTTTTTTAATATTCATGTAATCGCGACTGTGGAGTACTTTTTTAAAAACATCGCTCGTTTTCGTTTTATAAACGTTACACTTTGCATGCCGATTCTTGCTGAAATATAGATAATATCCGTAATTTCTTTCCTAATGAAGAAATTATCTGTAATACAAGCGTATGTTGGATTACGCCCATATTTATTGCGCATATATAGCAAACTCTCATTGATTCGATTCAATGATTTCATTGATTGACGCCGGGTCGAATGGTCATGAGCATGATTAATTATACTCTATCTAATCCGTTCGTATAGTGGCAGGTTGACTGACGGAATTCATTAGCGATTGAATTGGTCGGCCGTCGATTGTTTCATTGATCACACAGGAAGATTTCGCGATTAAAAAACTAGGCAAGGTCAATTTCGACGTTTGAATTTCGAGGAGAGCTCGCGACAGTTTCCGATTCTAAAACTATTCTTTTCTAGTTCACGCATCCGTCGAGTTTCCTGTTTACGCTTCGTATTCGTACTTTGGGCCATTGCTCCCACACAATTGCGTCGTTGAGCTTCGTTTGAGAAACAGATCCGGATAATTGCGTTCGACGCTCATTGACACCCGGGAAATACCTATTTCTTTGTATTTAGATCTAAATTGTATTTAGAAGGCGGATTTCAAACTGGGCCAGTAAGAATAAACGAACGCAAACAAATATCTACGATGATTACGGAATGCAGCTGTTTCTTTCATGTGCCGAAAGGTGTTGGAATCTTAAGTATGTAATGTAATTATACCCGTGGTGTCGGTCACGTGCGTATGTAAATAGCGCGAATGCATACATGCTTATTAAAACAGATCCCTTCATGCGTGTTTGTGCTCTTCATTTGAAATCTGGATCCAACTTCACGCGCAGTAAATGTGTTTGCATGTGAGATATCGATTTACTTGGGTTACCGAAGCATTGTCATATCTCCGCACATACAGATCGGATTATACTCCGGCGAAACTAATCGCGTTATCTTCGAATGATCGTGGACCGTCAGATAATAGCCACACTCGTCCCAATAATTATCATTCTCTTCGAACATCCGGCCACCTCCCGTGACACAAGGACTTCGTCGACGGAGGAAGAGGCGAGGAAGAGCGAGACAGAAGCAGCCGAGCCTCTTGTTCGACCCCTGAAGTTAGGGATAGCTCATAAGGGTCGCACTGCATATTATAATCAGATTAGGATTTCAGCGTGTTTGCAATCCGGCAGCAGAATCGGTGAAACAGTCGCAGATAGGCAGGTAAATAAATGAATGGGTGAATGTTGGCGCAGATTGCTACGGATTGGGCGATACACGGGAATAATTGCGGTATGGTACGCAGATGTACATATCGAAGATTCCACATTAGTCGGGCGCAATATATACAAGCGCATCAACAGATTAATTAAAACGTATCTGTAACATTCATTGGCGCAGCGAAGTGGCACTTTCCTACAAACATATATGGATACACATACTTGTCAACCCATTGAAGATTTAATTGATAAACTGGTAAATGCGCGTAAAAGCAGGGACAATTGTGAAAGAGATAATACATCGGTGAACTAATACACACATATTTGAGAAATTAATACAAACGCAGGATGGAGCAGTAGCTCTCGGAATTAACGGATTTTTATTTAGCGAGTTGTAGTGTACAACTTTCGAGTATCGAGAAGATATCGAATTAAGGGAAAGTAAAAAATAAATAACGAACGTTGCGAAACTTCTTTATCGTGAAAGTTTCCGAGGAGAGGTGACTTTTTGTAACTTGAGGTAAAAGTCTCGTGTAATTATTACACTCGCGGATTATTTATTTTAGTCGATCATTGAGTATCGTTCTACTTGTTCTTGCTGAGTAAA